CGAACACTAAGTAATTTCTATAGTGATTTTAAGTACTTAATAGGCCTTATGCTGTTCATTATTATTTCTATGTTTCACTAAATAGATTCACACTGGTATTGTAGTAATGATCAAACTTATACAAATTAAGGAAAATTACGTGGTCAACGGCGACTATCGTACACTAAATACAAAAAACTTCTGGGGAAATTAAAAAAAATTAAATTTAAAATTTGAAACGGAAATCACACAAGGAATATTGATGAGCGTCAATCGGTGGCAAAAACGGCTAAACACGTATCTGGTCTTTTAATAACTACCTGTATGGTGAATAATTGCATCAGTTTTAAATGGTCCTTTGTGTAAGCGTCATCTAGTAGTTTCAATGAAAGAACATATTGCCGAAGAGCCACCCTGATATACGAAAATAACCTATCGTAGGGCCGTTTATCGTTCACTTAATGATATATCATCTGTGGCCATATATAAAATCCAACAAAATGTCAGTACTAGGAGCCGGCCAAGTGGTTGTGACCCGATTGCCTGGAAGCCAATACCGTAGAACTGTGTTTTTTTTTACCGCAAATCGAAAATTCATACAACAGACGGAGCACAAACGTAGGCCCCGGCCGATGCTAATGGACACACACACACGGGACGTTATTAGGCACATTGCCGGGAAAATATCGTTTGAAAGGTTTGCTTCTGGAGGGCGAAGCAAAGGCAACCGAGTATGAACGAGGCGCGCGATTCATCAATGTTTGCCGAACCAACGGAAGGGTGGAGAGGAAGCATAGGGGGAAGATGGAGGTTAGATTACGTGTTTTCACGGTAGGCGTTTTTACTTCGTCAATCAGGCTGAACTGGCGTGACAGTAAGAAGGGGAGGGGGCGGCGCCCCTGCTGCTAAAAACATGGGCCATCGGGTTAAAAGTATTTGCGAATTTCTAACTACTGCAGGAAACTAGGCCGCAAGGCGGCGAACGCGAACCTTTTTCAGAGGATGTACAACGGTTATTCTCACAAAGTAAACAAACATCTATGGCCAAAGTAGTCCGGCATTTTGTCCAAAAACCCACGACACACTTTCCGTTTTTTTCAGATAGTCTAGACTTTGCGGTTTTCGTAAGCATAGCATTCCCTTAAACAGAGACTTGATTTTCATTTACGTGAAAGATACCGTCTATTAACATAGAGAAGCCTTGCTGATACCTACAGATAAACGCTATTGTCTATAATTTGATATATTTTTATCCCTGCTCCTTCAGAATGACCTTGTCACATAATACGTTTAATGCACACGTGCTACTTTCTATTTTGTAGTAACCTTTTTTAATTGAATATTTTGCACGTTTTTCAGTAATGTCCGCCTTAGGTACATGAAAACAAAAAAGACCATAAAATCTCAGAAAATGTATGGCTCATCAATGGGTCTACCGATCATATCTCTGGCCAGGTAAACCCTTACAACGGTCAAATATAGCGACATAAAAATGCAGCAGCTATACTTGAAGATGAGGGATATTCTTCGAAGCTGGTGGCTCGGTGTGCTTTGTGAAGCACAACGCTGGATAATTTTTTTCGGCGATACATCTGGTAACACACACACCATTACAACATGAGGCGAGAAGCAACGGAACCAATGTCTTTTTTCTACTGGACAAAGTAGTTCCCTGCTTTTCAGGTTACTGAACGACTTGCTAAACATCAAGTGTCCCAACCACAGAGTAACGAAGTGAAGTCGTCATAGCTGTTTTTACTACTTAGATCTGTAGCTTGGATTTGGGCGTTGTGACCGCGCAGCCTGGTCGTAATTGGAATCTAAATGCACCAGACTGATTGACGCAAGGGCTTTCTTTATTAAGTTTGCATGGTTACTCACTTAAATTATCTGTCTATTCTCGTCCGTCTGCTTACACATCTGCCTCCCGGAGACAAAAAATCCCCCCCCCCTGTTAAGTCTGCTAACAATTGATGTAAGCTTGAAATAGACAGTGGAATTTCACTTAATGTGTCCTTCTATTCGTGGTCTGCACTGTATCCAACAGCTTTGTCTCGTTTTCGACCTTGTCGGCAAACAAATAGTGTTCTTGAAACCACCCCAAGTGCCTTAGTCGGTTGTTTCAGTAGCCTTTAGAGTCGCGGGTAAAGGCGCTTGCTAGCAGTGCAGAGGAGGTAATCCAATTAGAACTCCTTCCTGGGATCACAGTTATTTTTTGATCTGCAAAACGTGAAATGTGTGATCACATTATTTCACTTAGCTGGAATATTCTAAATAAAATTACTTTTAAAGGCTTAGATTTGTGCAGATGTCATCCCTGTTTACCGTGCGCGCGAAATTCAGTCTCCCTAACTAGAGAAATACAAACAAAAACAAGAACAATCGATTACTTAAAGCGGTTAAAGTCAGGGAACAGGCATCCAATAAAAGGTACCGTCACCTGTGGAAAAGGATATGGTGTAAAAGCAACATGATCTATCGAGCAGGAATGAAATTCGATCTACATACCGTGATGAATTAGTGAATTGACGTGTGGACGATGTATACGGTCGATAAGAAGGAGAACAAATAGACAATTCAGGGGGCGAAGAACGAGATACGGTTTTTAGAACAAGAGCTGTATTAACCTGACGTTTCGGGTTCTCGCTCGGATCCATCAACAGAGACAAAGTTAGATAAGGGTATTGGATGGCAAAGGTGTTACAGTATTTATAGAATAGGCACGTATTGACTTGGCAAGTACATCCTCTAAATACTACAACACCCGTGGGATCCACAATCCTTATGTGACTTTGTCTCTGATGAAAGATTCGAATGGAAATCCAAAAGGTCAACTTAATAAAGCTGTTGTTCTCGTGACAGTGTTTTCTCTTCTTCGCGGCTGCTTCCTGGAACTCGCTCTTGGCTTCTATTAGCGTACCGCAGGTTCCTTTTAGAGGCATTTGGTGATTACATTAAGTTATTGCATAGTTAACTTGCGATGACAATTCGATTGAGGTAGAATTGTGTGCTCCACGAGAGGGTGGTGCGGGGACGGTGACTTGAGCTGTATTATAGTGACAGTAGACTTGTGCTGCATCTAACTCACCTGAGCCCGGTGTCAGGGCAGAGTCAAGAAGAGCGAGGACGGGAGAGGGCGCAGGTGCCTGGCACGGTTAGAGCTGCCTCCTGCGTGTGCCACAAAATCCGGCTCGGAGCCCAGCTGCGTGGGAGTCACATAAAGGCCACATAAGAAAGGAGCCGCTGTTGCCTGAATCTCAGTCCGCCATTCACTCACTCCACACAAATACACACTACGCTGATCCCGCGGTTCGAGTTACCCCGCCAGTTCGCAACGGCATTTAGCGCACCGTGATAGCTCCACGCGGGTCAGATGTTTTTTTT